TGAGACACCTTTTGAGCTCCAACACATTCGAAGCCGAAATGGAGCTTTGGAAACGAATAGTTTACGACATTAAACTGAACATCTCACCTGGTTCTTCGTGCCATTGCACCGAACCAGGCTGGTTCCGTGTCTGCTTCGCTAACATGTCCGAAGATGCACTAAAACTCGCCATGCAACGACTGAAGTCCTTCGTTGGCTCAATCGCCATTAACGACCTAAGCCATCAAGAGCTGAAGAAAACGGGAAGAAAAAACCGCACCAATTGGGTTTTCCGGCTATCGTTCCAGTCATTCCATGATCGGGAGCAAGACGAACGATAAGCCTGGTCAAATTTACTTTTTTTTTAGATTTGTTTTCTTCTTTTGATTCAAAGTTATTTATTTAATTACACACAGAGAGAAACTGCACTCAGCCCATGTGGGAGTTTGAAGTGTGTTTAGTTTCACTTGTACAATTTACGATTTCCACTTGCCATGGAAATCTTATTGGATTCTTCAAAACGATTATAGTAAATAATTAGCTTAATCCCAGATTCCATATCATCAATTTACATATAAATAATCATCCATAATCTGTTTATTAATTGCTTAATCATCCATAATCTGTTTATTAATTGCTTAATCATCCATAATCTGTTTATTAATTGCTTAATCATCCATAATCTGTTTATTAATTGCTTAATCATCCATAATCTGTTTATTAATTGCTTGTGTTAGTTTAATGCTAAGCAACTGTACGGACATGCAGCTGATAACGCGTATGCATATGTTCCCCGGCACGGCCGGCTATACACGGTGACTTGATCATTATCAGCTGCCGACGTTCGCCAGTCCTCCATTAATCGCGGTGGTTATTCCACCGACCCTATCATCGGGAATTCTAAATTCCAACTTTACAAGTGTTTTTTTTATTGTAGCTCGAACCACCATGGACAAGGGATTCAAAAAAACTGTTGCAATTGTATTTTCAGTTATGTTGTGTTTATCGTGATCGCGGATATAACGAGAACTATTACGATGATTACGGACATAATAATGGTGATTACAAATATCACGATCTTACAATAACAATATAAAAAAGAATTACTACTACTATTTAACAGACACTATTACAATATCAGACCACTATTTAAATTATTGTCATGGATATTACTTCACCGTGTTCAATTTTCTTCAAATGAAAGAGATGAATACTGCTTTTCATGTTTTCTTTACTATATAAGAAAGCTATTAAAATTTCAAATGAATTAAAGTAATTGTATTATGAGTATATTTATATATTATATTTTAAAAATTTATAATCAGGCTATTTATTTACTAATTATAACAATCGGGTCATTTTGGCATTAAAGATGTAATAAACGTCAATATTTTAATTACATTTAATGGTCAAATGTAAACTTATTCATAATCTAGTGATCAAAATGTAAACTTATTCGTAATCGAGTGATTAAAATGTTAACTTAATCATAATTGATTGATAAAAATATAATTAAAAAGTTAACATTTGTTACGCATTTAACAAGAAGTTGACGGGATTGCTAGAATTGATAAATAATTTGATCTTATGATTCAATTGTAAAGTTACTTATAATATAGTGGCCTATGGTATTATTTACCCTAAATCTTGTGAGGGAATAGTTATAAAATTATGTTGTCAATGGGAAAATTATGGTACTATTGACAAATATAAATTCTCCTTTAAAAATATATATTTAATATAGTTTTCGATTAATAAATCATATAGTAACACCAGAAAACATTCAAGATTTGAATACTGACGTTGTGAATGAAGTAAATTTGGTTGAGAGAGTTGTTCCATAACGAATCTTTATAATACTCGATTTAAATTAATCAATTAATAAGTTAGATACTAATAGTTATACTGACAAAAGATTTATACACTAACTACACTTTTGTATAAGAGTTAATTGTATCATATGTCGTCAAACTATGTCTCTCATCTGAAGTTGGTTTCTAAACTTTTGAACATTCCAATTTTATACCTAAACTATGAACCTCATTATAAATTTATCTTTAAACTTTTGAACATTTTAAATTAATCCAAAATCATCGGTATATGCTAATCACATCCCCTATTTAACTATTTGAACTATACGATTATATGTTTGAAAAAAAAGGTCAAACTATTTTTGAAACTAATTACATATTTGGATGTTTTTGGGAATGAAATCTGAAGATTCAAAAGTTTGGATATCAATTTAAAATAATGATCATAATTTAAGTACTACTGAAATATTAAAAGTTTGAAGATCAATTTAAAATAGGGTAAAGTACACGAATGGTCTCCCGACTATAGGGTATTACTTTATTAAGTCCCTAGACTATTACAAGTTACAAAATGGTCCTCTAACTATAGAGTGTTGCTTTGTTGAGTCCCTCGGCTATCAAAAGTTACAAAATGGTCATCCAAATATTCATTATGTTCCAAACTCGTCATTTTGTGTTAAAAATTGGCGGTTGTCTAAGCTGGATGTTAACATGATGATTGAGACGTGATAGTCGTTTGAGATTCTGATATCATATTTTTATCATATCATAGTCAACAAGTTAATGTTCAACTCAGAATTTCGTCAATTTTTAACGCAAAAGGACGAGTTTGGAACATAATGAATAGTCGGGTGATCATTTTGTAACTTATGAAAGTTGAGGGATTTGACAAAGTAACATTCTATAGTCGGATGATCATTTTGTAACTTTTAATAGTCGAGGGACTTAATAAAGCAATATACTATAATTGGGGTACCATTCGTGTACTTTACCCTTTAAAATAAGGGGGTGTTTGTTTCGGGAAAAAGACCATTACCAAGGGGAATAATCCATTCCGGAATTGTATTCTTATGTTTGGTTCGCTGAAAAGGTCAAGTAGATCTTATACATTGAAAAATAATATATATTTTTTCACTTGAGGCAACACCATTATTTTTATTTTATATTATATTTTATATAAATAAATATGATACTCATGAAAATTATTTAATAATATAATTTTGATTTACTAATTATATAAATTATATATTAAATGTATTTTTCTTTAAACTTTGATAGCTTAACAATTAAAAATGTTTTTTAAAAAATTATTCAAATATTTATAATTTAATATTAAAGTTTAACTTGTTAAAAAAACGTATATCACAAGGATAATTTGGTAAACATGCATCCAAGTAATATTATATTCCTCCAACCAAACACTGTAATCTTATATTCTTGCTAAATAGACCAAACAAGGTAATACAACATTTCTATAATAATGTTACTTTCTAATAATCTTATTTCCAAAGATAATCTCATGTTCCATGTAAACTGAACGTACCCTAATAGTCATAATTTAAAGATATATTATACAATTAACCCTTTCTATAAATGAAAATATATCCGAATAAATCTAAACTAAACCCATACATAATTGATATAGTAAATTTGAACTTCAAATATCAAAACCTACACATTTATAAAATCAATATAATAATCACTTTATGTCATATTTAATTCATTAGTTATTTTCAGAGAATAATTAGATTATAATTAACCAATTCAAATCATGTGAAGATATCATTAATTATTGAAATATGCAATAATCTTCAAACATTTTAATATATACAAGAAAAAAATATATATCATTGATAATTTATTTATATTATCATTTAAGATTTTGATTAAATTGATATCATCGACTAATTCAGTTGAAAATATATTACATTCTTTTAGAAAATTTAATAAAAAATATTATGATGATGTTTTTATTCTTTTAAATAATCTTTATTTTAAATAAAAAATAATTTAAATTTTATTATTTTAAAATTGAACATGAATTAATAAATATTAAAATGTTTTTTTAACAATGGAATGCCAACATTTTATTAATAATAAAAAACAACCTAAAAAAGCAAAACAAAAGGTCCAAAAAGTAGTAATTGATGACAACCTATATGACAATAAATGAAAATAGGTAAACAAAAGATCAAAAAACACTAAGGGATGTTTGGCTCAAGGATTGTGGGATTTCTATGGGATGGGAATCCCACATTCTCATATTTGGTTGGTCGGGAATCTCATTCCCGGTAATGTTTTATTACCAATAGTAGATTTTTTGGGGTATATTACCGGGAATGTCATTACCTCCATTCCCTTAGGTATTGTAATATTACCGGCGTTTTGGACTAAAATACCCTTAAATTTTTATTTTTTTTCAAAAATATCCTTCTTCTGTCATTGATAATAAAAATTCTACGAACGTTAAATTACAAATTTATCCTTAAATTATTTTAGATTTACAAAAAAAAAAATCTATAATTAAAATTTTATATGAAGTTCAGGGGTTAAAAAAATTTTACCCTTTCATTAAACCTTTTTTATATTTTTAATTTTGTAAAAATAATTATATAAATATTATGAATTTAATTTTTTAAAGAAAATATATAAATATTTTGTGAGGGTGCTTATCCTTCCCCACACGTAATCGACCCCCGAACCTGTTTAAATAAATCTTTGGTAAACGCATACCAGTTTTTGTCTTAAAAACGATTTTTCTTAAAATTGTTTTTAAAAGACGTTTTTAGGTATTTGACCCACCTAACCTAAAGGTCGATGGCGACTTATTTCAATTTAATCCAAATTAATTCAAAATCACCCATTTTTCAAAATAAAAGTTATAATTGTTTTTTAAATAATATTTAATTATTTTTACCTAAAAAAATAGTTATGACAATTACTATTCATATTCTCCTGTCCATCATAATCCCGTGTCCATGGACTAGGTGAATAATTCATGCATCTTGGTGGAGCCCTCAGGGATATATCCTATTTTGGAACCGACTCCTGCTTCAATCGTAGCACTCGTAATGGACATGACCCTTCTCCGTGACCCAACTTCCTACAGAGGAAACAAAACACCCTAAACATCTCATACTCGAGTGTGACATAATGGAAACCTTCGTTTGACAAAGCTATCTTCTTTTTTCTTTTCAATAACACACGAAATCACAGACTTCCCTTATATCCCAAAGTAACTACTTTCGCATCAAACTCCATAAACACCCCGATGAAATTACCCAACTGCTTTGTAACCTGCTCAAAAATAAAACTGAATGGCTCATCATTTGCCAATACCCAAAATCCCACCGAGTTAAGATCAACCAACTGTGGATTTACATCATTCAGTAATCGATGAAGAACCAAAAGATACGATTTAAAATACCAAGGGCCTTCATCCCAAATCCTCTCAACATCAACCTCATGGAATAATCAAAATAGAAATTGTCGGTCCTCCAATTCAGTGATTGAAACACCCTCAATTGGATGCCAGACATTGGCCATCATTGTCTTCATTGCCTGAAAATTAATATTACCCATAGTGATAAAACGACCCACTAAACAGTTGAAGTTGTTGTCGTGTTATCAAGTTGAAGAACTTCCTCCTTCTCCACTCCCAGATCCAATTTCTCTAACTCCTCAGTTAAATCACTTATCGCTTACCCTGTTTCTTCGATCCAAACACCCAGAGCCCTTCAAAACTACTCACACAAGAGATCAAAATAATGGGTAGAGAGAGAAAACCCTAATAATGGGTAGTAATAAGATTCAAATAATTTATTTAAAATGTTTAGTATGTTATTTAAAGATAATTTCTTACATGAATCTTAATAAATATATATTTTGTGTAATGTTTCCTTCTTACTCATGTTATGAATATGATAAATCTCATAATTATTTAAAATTGATATAGTTTTGAGATTGCTCCAACTTGCGGTTGATAACCAACACTATTGTATTAATATATCTCTAATCATTCATCAATTATATATAATGCACTTCCGTTAAGGTTCTTCTACATGTTGATATTAACAATAATATATCTCAAACTAATGCTAGAGTGGTCCATGGTTTGATTTTTTTATTAATTTAATTTAAGTAAAAGGTAGTATCTGTTTGAAGATATCTCACAGCCATTTGACATTAGATGCTCATGGCCCCTAGTATTCCTGATGCTCGAATCAGGAACCTTAAAGAATAACAATAATTCTTTTACCATCAAATCGCTTGGTTTGTACCTATTTTTTATAAATTGCAAGGATGCAATATTTTTTTAGTAAGAAAATGATAGTGCTTTTTTCGATAATAAGAATTATATATATAAATATAAATTTTTTAAACTCACCACAACCAAAGTTATCAGATTACCATATGTTTTGTTTTTTATTACTGTTTTTCTAAAGAAATTTGCATTAAGACTATAGTTATTAAATATTAGGGTAAAATACACAAATGGTCCGACTACAAGGTACTGTTTTATTAAATCCTTCGACTATTAAAAGTTATAAAATTGTAACTTAACTATTTATTATGTTTAAAACTTGTCATTTTCCATTAAAAAATTGGCGGTTGTCTAAATTGGACGTTAACATGATGATTGTAATATGATAATTGTTTTAGATTCTGATTTCACATTTAAAAATTGGTATTTTTAGATCTTGACCTTTTTAGTTCCCAAACTTCAATTAGTGTTTTAATTTTGACATAATTAATTAAGATTAAAATTAGATCCTCCATCTTAGGCTTGATTTCACATTTAGTCCTTTAATTAGGTGAATTCTTAATTTGGTCATCGCTTTTGCTCGAGGTTCCAATTTAATTATTTGAAGCATTATTTATTAAAATTAATTTAAGTTAATGTTAAAACCTCCACTTTTAGTTAGACTTCAAAGTAGTCTTTTAATTTGGGGAATAATTCGAGTTGACATTCGCCTAAATGTTCGAGGGACCATCTCGATTATTCGATTCGATAATTGATTAAAATCAAATAGGATTAATATTAGAGCCTACATTTTTTAAGTTTGAGCTTCTAGGTTCCTTTAATTTCATAATTTGACACCTTAAGCTAGAAAAAGTCTTTAATTTACCTTAGCTTAATTAGGATTAAATAAAAATTTGTTTAATTGCATTTTGTTTTTAAACCTAAGACAACGTTCACTTATTGAGGAATTAATGGTATATCTCCCGCAAGTATGCTCAGGGGGTGACTACTGATATTCCCGAAATAGGTTAACATCCTTTTCAAAGACTGCATCATGATTTTCTAAAAACGAGGCAATATTCGGTTATTAGGTACAATAGTTGATCTCCCGCATTTACGCCTGGGAGTTAATGCTATCGGTCTCAATAAACGAATACCCTTTTCAACTTTGCATCCATAATGATTCTCAAAGTAAATAAAGATCGAACTCAAAATTTTTGATTTTAAATATAGGGTAATCAACTAGGTACAAATATTTTGGCGCTTGTGGGGGTGCTAATCCTTCCCCACACGTCCTGAACCTGATTTTTTGATTTTCGCAGACCTTAAAACTTGGTATTTTATAAAAATAAAATGTTTTATTAAAATCACCCGGTTTTTATTGTGTCTCAATCACACCTTAAATGATTGGTGGCGGCTCCTCAAATTTCAAAAATTCCTTTAAAAAAGAAAACTCCCGAGTCGGTATCGATCTTTTCCCCGCCCGGGCAAAAAACAGTGTCGACAATATCACATTTAGCATGTATACCGTTAATTTTTTAACGAAAAACGATGAATTTGAAACATAATGAATAGTTGTGTGATCATTTTATAACTTTTCATAGTTAAGAGACTAAACAAAGCAACACTATATAGTCAAAGTACCATTTGTAACTTTTAATAGTCAAATGACTTAATAAATCAGTACCCTATAATCAAGGGATCATTTGTGTAATTTATTCTATATATATTATATTGCTAACTCGGTTACGTAATTTAAAATTTTGAGTGATTAAAGTAGTTTGAAGTGTTATAGTACATGTTCGTTAAATTAAGTAAGGGGGGGTCGGCACTGAATGTTTCCTATGAACCAAACAGACAATACTAAAATTATCCCTTTAAACATATAAACAATGTAATATTTTCATATAAAAGTTAGGGTAAATTACACATTAGATACATAATCTATCAGTTTTGGTCTCTTTTAGTATCTAAATTTTCAATTTTTTCAAAATCAGATCTAAAGTTTAGTTTTTGTTTCATTTTAGTACCACTGTTTAAAATTTAACGTTAGGTTTTGAAAAAATTGAAAGTTTAGCTACTAAAACATACCAAAATTGATAGTTTAGATACTAAACGTGTTTTTAACGGCGGGGCACTAAAATGAAATAAAAATTAAACTTTAGATATGATTTTGAATTTTTTTTTTTGAAAATTTAGGTACTAAAACGATCAAAACTGATAGTTTATGTACTAAATGCATAGTATACCCTAAAAACTAATTAAAATTTGATTGACTTTCTTTTTCTTGCATAATAAGACCCCCACTCGTATACCAATATGGATTTGGATTCTCTATACTTAGTTTAAATTAATGCAAATCAATGATGTTTGATTGCGATCACTACTTTAATTAATTAATTAATACATATACCATCAACAAAGGAAAACTAGAACTAGCTCAGGATCCACTTCCATAAATAAATTATCTTTCTTTCATATTTTTATAAGACATTCCATTTTGAAAAAAAAAACGTTATTTTCTAAAACAATAATTAGAAAAAAATAGATATATAAAAACAAGTTTAACTAACTATATATTATGGTTGGTCAAAATTGGGTATCCGTATTTTCAGATACTCGAAATATCGGGTGCTAGAAATTTTTAGGTACCAAAAAATCAGCTAGTGACTTAGCCGATTATATCTCGGTATCCGCATTTTTGATCATGGGTGCTTGGTTCATTTTTTATTTATTTATATTTAAATTATATTAATTTTTTTTAAAATATAATTAAAAATTTTCAATTTCAAAATCTAAAGGTCTATCATATATATAATTCACATATAAAGTTTAAAAATTCCGTTTGCGTGCCAAGCCTGATCCCGAAACCCGAAAATAAATAGCATGTCGGGTATTTGACCCAGAAAATCGGGTATTTTTATTATAAGTACTCGATATTTTTTAACAGGCTCGTCGGGTCAGGTCAATTTGATCGGGTATTTTTGAACACTTCTATTATATATATATACATACATGTTACATCAATAGTAAAAGGAAAATATTATTCTTTTTAAAGGTTTCACCTTCGAGTAGTTACGTTTGCAGGGACCAGGATATGTGTCCATTATCAGTAGTCTAAACAAAATTTAAACATATACTAATTTGTAAATCACTTTAAACAATTTTTAAAAAAAAAAATCATATTTTTTACTTTAATTTTTATATAAAATAGATATATTAATAACTTTATTTTTTAATATAAAATTTAGCATTTAATAATTTATTGTATAGCATTAACATATTCTCATTATAGTTGCATTATACTGTCTGTTGCATGTGGCATGTGGGGGGATGAAATCTCTCATTTGGTCAAACCCATTTTACGGATCTTTACAAAGAATATATAAACCAAAACTATTATTTGTATTACGCAATCCTTTTTTTTTTGTTACATAAAATCTAACCAATACATAATTTTTTTAAAAAAAAATTGAGCAAAAACCATTTTTTTGGGTAATTAAATAGAAAATTCGGTTGGCCATGATATGAATCGATACCGGTCGCAACCGCCCATGATCCTTACATGTGATGCAAGAGTTTGGTAGCTCTTAATTTTCATAAATCAATGGTTTTATTCAGGGATGGATCGAGGGGCATGAGGTGCGGTCGCACCTCTTAGAATTTTTAAATTTTCTTGTATTTTTTATAGATTATCTAATTTCGCACCTAAAATTTCATAATTCCGTACCCCTAAAATTTTTAATAATATAACTTCTTAAATTTGCACCACTGACATAAATTTTTGCGTCCATCTCTGATTTTATTCTAAATAAACTAAAATGAATAAAGTGGGAATTTCGGTCGATTTCATGATCTTTCTCAATATTGGCTTCATGTGCTGTTCATAAATGATAAAATTTATGGAATGGTTTTTGCTGCACAATTTGTTATGAAACTATGAGCCAAAAGGACTTGTTATTATTTTATAGGATTAAATATTTAAACTATTTCATTGTAGTATATTCAACAGTCAAACGTATATTTCCATTCAAAGAAAATTGATTTATTTTTTATCCCTTTTTAGTCAATTGAATAAATTAAAATAATTACCTTATAGATTAATTAAATATTATAATAACAATGA